TTGCTGGGACAACGGGTGCAGGCGCTGCCCGAGTGATGGCTGCAGAGGTCTGTACGACACACTGCTGGCTAATGTCAGGTTCAGCGATGGGGCTGTCGTCATGCTCGGCTGTACTGATGGCAGGCACCTCAGGGTCTTGTGGGGCCGGCAGTGGCAGGCCATTGGGGAGGCGGAGCTCCTCGGGCTGTGCAATGGGAGACTCCAGAGGGGCATCCAGGTGACAGGGTGGCAACACGACTGACAGCCTTTCTGGCTCCACCTCTGTGACACCGTTAGTGGTGGAGGGAGGAGCGAGGGGTGTGTCCGAAGAGGCAGCTGCCTCTTCTGCTTTAGCCTCCTCCTCCTTTGACTCTGTGGCTTTCTTGTCCGTTTTGTCTTTTGCAGCAGAGGAGGGGACAGGGTCAGGGAGCGGTGCAGGGTAGGCGGGCACCTCAGGCGCAGATTTAGGCGGTGGGGTGGGTTCCTTGCGAAGTGGGGGAGCATCCATCACATCTGCAACAGGAGGGCTTGGTGCAAGTGTGGAAATAGTGTCGAGAGGTGTGTCCTCTGCTTCTGATAGTAGAGGGGGTGAAGGGGGCTTAGTGTTCGTGTCAGAGGAGGTAGCCTCAGTGGGGATCGGGTCACTCTTAGCAAGTTCAGGGGTCTTTGACAAAGGAGGGGGCGTAGGTTTGCCTCTATCATCTGGAAGGTAAGAAAAAAAAATGACTCTGTTCAGTTCATTAATTATGTTTTCATAATCTACACTTGTCTGTCCCTCCATATATGGACCACCACATCATCAAAGGTGTTCATGAAGACTTTACAGACATAGGACCACATTCACCAAACAAAGCTCTTTAGATGCCACATTGTCTGATAATTAATTTCCTTGAACTAAGCTGCCTTCATGGTTATAACCGGACTAGCGGGTGAAGTCACCCCTACAGAAGAAAAACACATTTGTCTCATTTTTACACAATAAGATTAAATGCAGTAAGAATACTGCTGCCTAAGCTTAATATAAGATATATTAAAAGGCTAAATGAAAGCTAATGATAGCTTAGAAAACGCAAAGAGGAACATGCTGTTATTATTATTATTATTATTATTATTATTATCATCATTATCCTAAAGTACTTATGCAGCAAAATAACCAGCCACTGAAATAGTAAGCTCTTCAATAAAGTGTTAATAAACATGCCTTGGTTCTATATAGGTCCCCATATACTAAATAAAACAAACGAAAGCTTGTAATAAGCCAGGCAAATATTAGTAGCTAATGTAAAATATGAACAATATAACTTTGTGATATTGAATTTGAAAGACTCAAGTGGCACTCACCTGGTCGAACCACTGCTGGTGTAGCAGCAGCTGTGACGCTCTCACCGTTGGCCTGGGCCACTGCTGTACTTTCTGATCCAGATACGGCTGACTATTAGGAGACCAAAAGGTAAAGTATGACCTTAGTTGGTGAGGACAACACTAATTTTTCCACGACTAGAAAAAAAAAGTTTCATGTTGGCTATGAGCCGAACGTCAGGACTCTAAGAGCAAATCATAGATCAGTTTGAGTTTGACACATTTATGAGCACGTGCATTCTGCAGCATTCCCCATAAAGTAGTAACATATGGACAGCACAGGCAAGTAAATTCTTGTTTTAAATCTATTTGACATGCTATAATAGACAAGCCTTATATTTGCACAGTAGAAAGTACAAGAAACAAGACTATATATTTTTAATATGGACCCCCAGATAACAGCAGCCGTTACCAGCTAAAAACCATGGACTGCATAAACATGTATATATAAAGTATAAAGTAACTGTATATACGGTCTATGGTAACAACTAATGGGGTCCCAAATAAACACTAAACAAAAAACGTAATGTTCCCATGCACTGAAAGCATGTTGGGGAACTACACCAACCCTAATAAATTGCTATGAGTGTTAGTAAATCACAAAACTTTATTTGTACACTTTGCACAAGAGAATTAAGTAGGTGTCTAAAAATAAAACTAAACCCCTAATAGTGTGCTAGTGTGTTTGCTCTGCCGACTGTCTTTGGTGTTGTAGCTCACCTGTGGTGGGGTTGGGGTAGAGCCGCTTCGGCCCCCTGACATAATCTCCTCTGTAATGTCTCGACCTCCTTGGTTAGGGTCTCTTATTCTGATCTATGGTGGAGAGGAAAGAGATCCACTGTCAGGGTTAGAATACAAATGATGTCAGGAAGGACAGGGTAGAAGAAACAAATCTGTATGTGAAGGAAAGAGACCTGACTGTAAATGAAGAAGCGTACGGAGAAAGGTAAAGGGTTAAAATGTTTCAAGGTGAGGACAGCAGCATGTAAGAAAAGAGCCTTCCCATGATGCAAAGCCTACCTTGGTCAGCCTTTTCGGTGCGTATGACTCGCTAGCTGCCTCGCATTCAATGAAAGCTACATTTCTCACATTGTGAACACTGAGGCACACCAAATCCAAAAAACTAACCGCCACGCAAATTCCTCTGCTGTACAGCTGAATGTGCTTCAGCTTGTTAGTCACCGCTGAAGCTGTTCGACTGAGCGAGAATCAAGTTAACCAACTTCAAGACAAATTGTAAAACAAATTCCACTGCTGCTGTTTAAGTTGTTATGAAAATGCCTGACTCTCAAGAAGGCAATTCACAACCAGGCAGACACATAACACTCAGGCACAAGGAGAAAAAAAAAAAGTAAAGATCGGATCAATCACTCACAAGAAGTGCCCATACATTACAAACGCATGCTTTCTATTCAGCACTCTTTTTCTCTCACTCACACTCTACATACTTACTCTAGGAAGTCAGAACTGTCATGAAACTGGTGTGAGCAAGAAAGCTACTAAATAAAGTGACGCACACAGTCACTGCATGAGGATTAAACTGTAGAAGTTAACAGTGAGCTGCTAAAATACTGCTGCTCTCTGGCCTACTTTTGACTTTAAGAACAACAATATTTGCTTGTTGCTAGTGACCTTTACCTGGTTCAGTCCGTCAGCAACTCCTCTCCCGGAGGACTGCAAACCCTAGCGGGCCTCTCTCATCCTGGGGCTGGAGTAGCTGTTCCAGTGGACTTGGGGTTGGACTTAAAACCCCACACAGCAGGATGGTGGGTGGACGTAGCCAGCGTAGTTTTACCTCAGCTCAACTCGCACACATCCAGGCTGTGATAGAGAGCTACACGCCGGCAGAACAGGACAGAGCAGGGCTGGGCCTGACTGTCAGTAAGCTAGCTAGCAACTTGACTCACTCTCTCATACCCAGAACAGGGAGGGGTGGAGGGGAAAGGATAAAGCGACTGGCCTTGTAAAGCTATGGTATTGGAATGCACAAGCCCGCCCACAAAGACTAACAGACAGTTAAAGGGGCCGGAGGGGCAGGGTAGGGGGGAGGGGTGGTGGGAGGGTTTCCAGGAAAAAAAAAAGTTATCCTTATCAA